CGAGTCTTTCGGGAAGAACGCCGCCGCCGATTCAGAGAATGAGCCCGCGCAGCCACCGTAGCGAAGAAGTCTTCCTCCAAGACCCTCGCGCAGCGCTTGCTCTATTAAGCCAAATTCGGTTTCTACGGACTTGACTGTTAGAGGGACCCGCGGGACTAACTTCCTAGTCCCTTTGCGCCGTTTCTTCTTCCCTTTCCACAGCAGAACTATTCGTATTATCTCTCTATCGCTGCAAAGACGGCTGAGAAACTGGTGGAATAAATGCGACAGCAGCTGCAACAGAACGAGCAGCAGAAACAAGTGTGAAATCCAGGATTGGAATGTGGCTGTTGTTGGAAAACACATGATCCTCTCTATATAGTCTTCGTTGCAGAACAGAGATGGCAACGGGAGTTCATACTTTTTCTAGCTCGTAACTTAGCGTGAATAGCGCTATTTATTTTTTTTACATGTTGAACATTTAAAAGGACAGATGTTTTCATTCAGTCTGGATTGCATGTAGAACAAAGGGTTCTTGCTGCAACGGGCTATGGAATCTTTATTGTAGACTCACACAATTATCCCGCCTCCTAATTCGTCTCTTCAGTCCTTGCAACTCTATGGTCACCTTAAAACCCCTCTCACCGCTGTCCGTTTCTCTGGCAGCTTTTCACATGCGCAGGCGTAAGCAGAGGGCAAGTTCGTTTATACGCATGCGTAAAAGAGACCGCTACCGTAAGGCGGCCCCTTGATAGAACGGAGTATGCGCAGTAGGAAACACTGAGGAGGCGGACTGAATGTTACATTGATCGCTAGCGGGGACAGGGGCGCCTGCGCAGCCATCCGGCGGTAGTAAGGGTTGTTTCCTCGGTTCTCGGGAGGGGAGCAGTGGAAGAAAAGGGCGGTGGAGGGGAAAGGACGTTCGCATCATGGACCGCCAAGCTGATCTGCTTTCTGTGCCGCACAAGCGTAATGATTTCCATCGGGGTAGCCTCGTAGTCAGTCAGTTGCAACAAGAGCAGCAGCCTTGCAAGTGCCCTTACCGGTTGGTGGCGTCCATACCCCTTCCCCCGGAGTAGCTGGAGTTGCAAGTATTTGAGAATAGCTAGAGGGCTTGTAACTCATGGGGTCCTCCTCAGTGTTGTACAAAATGGTGTAGTGTTACCAGCCCAGAAAGGTGTATTCTGAGTAAGCCTGTCAATGATTTCAGCATAATCGATTTTACTTTTCTCACTCTCTCCATCCTCTGTCAAGTAGGATGACTTGGCCTTGAAAATCAATTCATACTTGCCTCAGTTGATAGTTCCCTTTCAACTCTCTCCCTCACTCAAGAGACTAATAATTTCAAAATTTAAACATGCACAGCACATGCAGACAAGAAAAATGAGAAAAATGAAGCAATTTGTCTGAACTTTGGTCAGCATAATTCTTTCAGAATGTTTCAAAAATCTAACGGTGCAAAAGCATACTTATTTGTTGATTTCCACTGTGAGTGCTAGTCTGAGTCTACTATCAGAATGAAGACCACACAAGATAATTTATATACTGTATACTTTGCCCCACAGACTCTTAATGAGGTTTCAAAGGAACTTCTGGATATAATTTTGGAGCCTCTGTTTGGAATAGCTGAGAATTGTTGGGAGGACAGGTGATGTCCATAAAGACTGGAGGTGAGCAAATGTCATCCATCTTAAACAACAGGGCAAGTACTGACAAATCACCTTGACATTGATCCCTGGAACGACTCTACAACAGATGATTAATCTATGAGCATTTCAAAAAGAACACTGATTTCTGGGATTCAATGTGGTTTCTCAAAAATGAGTCAGGCCAGACTGGTCTCTTTCTCTTTGTGGAGTCCTGTATTAAGAGGATGCTAAAAATATAGTTCATCTTGATTTCAGCAAGGCATTTGACACTGTCCTTCATGCTCTTGCAGCTAAACTGCTAAAAATTGGGTTAAACAATGATACTATGAAGGTGATTTGGAGCTGACAAGACGGACCATGCCCAGTGAGTGCTCACCAATGGTTCCTTGTCATCTGGGAGAGAAATTAAAAATGGCATGCTACAGAGTTCTGTCCTGGGCTCAGCATTCAACATCTTTATAAATGGCTTAGATCAGGGTGTAGAGGAGAAATTCACAGAAACCAAATTGAGAAGGGTAGGTAATACTTTGGAATATGGAATTCAATATATCCCTAATAGGGTGGAGAACTGGACCAAACACAAAACTAATTTCAGTGGGAGGGAAATGTAAGGTTCTACATTTAGGCAGGATAGGCAGATGCACAAATACACAGTGGCAACAGCTGCCTTGGCAGTAATACAGTACATGTAAAAAAGGCAAGCGGTCTTAATATAGACCACAGGTTAAACATGAGTCAAAAGTCTCATGATGTGACCAAAAATAAAAAATGAACCAATACTAGGCTGCTTTAAGAGAAATACTGTATAGTGTCAAGAGGAAGCATTAGAATGGTATTAGTACCATTCTGTTCTCTCTTGGTCTAAAGTCACTTGGAATACTGAGTCCAGAGGACAGTTGTCAGGGTGTACAATATTACCAGGATGAGGAATATTTGAGGGAGTTGTTTATGCCTAATCTGGAGAAAAGAGGACTGGGAGGAAATGTGATAGCCATCTTCAGATATCTAAAAGACTACCACATGGAAGATGGAGTTACAAAGAGTATGACATGAAGTAATGGATTCAAATTATGAGAAAGGAGATTTCACCTGATCAGGAAGAAATTTGTGGCAGTAAGAGCTGTTCAGCAATGGAATGGACTGCCTCAGATGGTGCTAGATTTTCCTTCATTGGAGGTTTTAAAGGTGAGATGGCCACCTGTCAGGGACACTTTAGCTACGAATTTCCTGCCTTGTCAAGGGGTTGGATTCAGTAAATCAGGGGTCCCTTTCAGCTCTGTAGTTCCATGATTCTATGAATAAAAATCTTAGTAATGTTTTAACTGCTGCTCACAACTACAACAATCAAGAAACTGAAGGAAAAAGATCAACAGGTGGATTTGTAGCACTTTATGTCTTGTTGTTAGTTCAGCAAGGCTTGTCAGGGCAGTTTGAAATCTGGTATGTTTTTAGAACTCTGCAGTTAGGTCATGGATGTTAGGTTATTACCTTAACATGTCACTTCTATAAGCAATAGAACTGCAAGACATATATTGGAACCTTTTTGGGAAAATGGTTCATCTAAACTAAAGAACCTGTATGCCCGTTTACTTTTGACGACTAGAGTACAGTTGTGCCTCGCATAACGAGCGCACCGTATAACGACGAATCCGCATAGCGATCCCTTTTCCGGGATCACTAATGCGGAGGCATAGCATCGGTCCCTATGGAAAAAACTTGCTTACCAAACACAGGTGCCAGGAAGGAGCAGCCGCTGCCGTGGCCACGAGAGTGATGCAGGGCCGTGCTGGCCGGGGAGGAATGCAGGCGGGCAGGCAGGCAGATGGGGGGAGGGAAACGGCGCTCGCTCACTTGCCCGCCACCCCCCGCTTTCCCTCTTCCTCCTCGTCCTTCTCCCGGGGAGGAAGGCAGGCGGTGAGGCAGGCAGGCGAAGGAAGGGAAGCTGCGCACTCACGCGTCCTCCCCTCCACTTTCCCTCTTCTCCTCTTGCCGCTGCCCCCCCAAGCCTCCCACAGAGTTGGGCGATCAGCTGTTCAGTGGTTCCAAAATGGCCGCCAGACACCCGAAATGGCCGCGCAGAGCGTTTTTGCCCTCTCCCCTCGCTTACCGAGGGCACGAAAATGGCTGCCGCTATGGAGGAAACTTCGCTGAACGATGTTTAATGCGTTCCAGTGGGCTTTTACGTTCCGTTTAGCGACGATTTCACATAGCGAGGGTTAATCTGGAACGGATTAACCTCGCTATGCGGGGCACCACTGTATTTTACTTGTTGCTACCATGTAAGCATGAAAAACATGAATCAGGTATGAAAATGGATCTTTTTTAATCCAAACTGTAGAGCAGAGCACAGTTCATTTCTTTTGCCATTCTGCTTGTTTACCTCAAATAGCACAACTGCAAATATGCAAGATATTTCTAGTAGTCTTTCTGACCAGCAGGAGGGGCCCGTGCACATACACATTTACTGTCACCACCAGTTCTGATGTTCACTAAACAGGTACATTTAAGAAAATTAAAAAGGAAGCTTTTCATAAAAATGTTCTGACATTCCTTCAGCAACATACCTGTTTGCCCAAGATAGTACCAAGTCAAGATATTAAAATCTTTTTTAAAAAGTTATCATTTACTATTTGTTGTAAAAAGTGTACAGTATATGTTTGCCTTCTATGATACAGATGAACATAGTCTATTGAGATGTGGAGCTCACCAGGTAGTATCTGGACGTTGGCTCTTCTGTGCAGTGCTAAAAGTAATGTAGAAAGTTGGTTGCTTTGAAAAGAAAAGGGAGATAATGACCCAAATCCTCTTACCCAGTTACACTGGTGTAGCACAAATGGTATAAATTTTGGAGGCTAATTGCCCCAAGTTAATACAATGGAGTCTCGACTTACATTTGGCTCCACTTACGAACTTTCGACCTACAGATTTCTCTGGCCGCAAAGTTTCACTTCAACTTGCGGCCAGAGAATTGACCTACGGACCAGAAGGGTGAGGCGGGGAAAGCGCCAAATTCAAATTTTGGGCGGATCGGCTTTTGGGCGGATCGGCTTTCGGAGCTTAGAAAGGTGCACCCACTGCCTCTGGGCACCGGGGACAGGAGACAAGAGGCCAGTGGGTCCAGCTTTCTAAGCCCCGAAAGCCCAAAGCTGACAGCGGGTGCAGGGCGGCTTTCAGCTTCCAAAGCTGCCGGCTTTTGGGGCTTAGAAAGCTACACCCACTGGCCTCTTGGAGGCAGAGGACAATTGGGACAGAAGGCAGAGGGCAGCAGGTGCAGCTTTGGAAGCCCCTGATTTTTTTTTCCTCTGGCTGGAATGAATTAAATGATTTTTAATGCATTCCTATGGGAAATGGAGCCTCGACCTACGGAATTTTCGACCTGTGGCCACAGTTCCAATACGGATTAATTCCGTAAGTCGAGGATGCACTGTAAATCTCTACAGACATTACCAGTGTCTATAGTATGACTGGTGTGCAATTGATAATGTCTAAAATGATTTATTAACTTGGGGCAGTTTGGTTCCTATTTGTGTAGTGACAGAAATGGATTTTGGCCAGTTGTTGAGTATCTGACGTTTATCTATGTCTGGACAACAGTGTGTTTTTGATAAATGAACTGTCCCTTATATACACAGTATTTTCACAGAAGAGGTAATTTTAAATAATATTTCTGCTGTTTTATGACATGAATTCAGAAACAGCTCGTTTAACATTGGCATTACCTATCATATACTTGTCTGCCACATTAAGATTAGCCTCCTTTCAGCAAGAATGCTATGCTTTGGCTGGGGTTATTGATTAGGACAGCAGTTGGTATATTTTGCCTTAAATATAATGTATGCCACAGAGGTGCTTCACATGCCAGAAACATCCAAAAGACTTTTTCCTTCTGGGAAAAATCAATTCCATGAGACAGAAAAGGTTAGTATTAAGGAGTACTTATGCTGAAAGTGTATAGACTTGAAGTGTCCAGTAGACCAAAAGATGGAGAAAAGGATGGTCTGGCTAGGTAACTTACAGTCTATATGTCATAAAGCTTAAGCTGTTCTTTGATGTCGTTTTCAGACATCTCGCCAAATGTATCTTCTTTCTCCTTTATGAGGTTGAAGATGGCAGTCAGCTGTTCTCTCTCAATCCTGCCAAGAAGAGAAGGATAATAACAAGGGGAAATGGAGATGTCACTTCTTCATAAGTTGAAAAGCAGTACTAGTGGATTTTGAAAGTTCACAAATATTGGCTGCTAGTTATCTCTGGCACTGATTGACTGACTGATTGATTTAGTTCATGGCCAACAGGGCTTAAGTAATTTACAACAGATTAAGATTATTAAAAACAAATGTGAGCATTTGCATGGAAGTTCCCTAGCATACTAAATGGAAGGTTGTATTCACAATTGATCTAAGATACAGAGTCCAACTGATAGTGTAAATTAAGGTAGAACTAGTGAATCAATTCTGAATAGTAAGTCAACACTTGTGTAAATTGTATGGGTTCAAGGAGCCTACTGTAGTTGGGAAAGTGGATTTGAGTCTAGATTTGAGTGTGGTCAATTATTATCAAGCAGTGGCACTGAACTCCTGATTTTCTCAGATAATGGCTGAAATCCTATTGCATAGTGTAATAAATTGCCATGGAGTAGGCCCACTAAATCAGTGGGGACTTGGTGAGACAACTCCTCCATATGTTCCACTGATTCAAATCGACTTACTATAGTTGTAACTTGCTGTGCTAAAGTAAGTCACAACTAGAGTAAATCCATTTGAATCAATGGAACGTATGGAGAGGCTGACTCACCAAGTCCCCAATGATGGGGGGGAGCACTACTCTAGTGTAACACACTACACTAGGCAACAGGGTTTCAGTGCATATGTTTGTTTGGGTTTCTTGTCATTCACAGGAACTGCATCTTCATACTGTGCACAAAAAGAAAAGAAAAAAGAACATTGTTTCCCCACATTTCATGGTTTCCTAGATGCAGTAATCTTCCATGTTTATTTCAGAATGTTAAATATCAAAGAAGTTGCTGAGCTTAAGATGACTGAGATACTTGCTTTCCGCTTGGGTATCTGCCTGAAGTGGAGAAAGAGGCACAACTAACAGATGTAAAGAAAAGGATTTGTTTAAAGGAAAAGCAGTTGAAAGCAAAGGAGTAGCTATACAGTATTTTAGTGGCAATAAACCTGTTGCCACCCAGCTATTGGATTACAAACCCCATCATCCACAACTTGACAACTAGCCCTGGAAAACCACAGGTTCTCAACCCCTCTTGAAAAAAACACACACCTTTAACCTTACTTCTTAACATTTTTAGCCCCCAGGATCCACTTTGCAAGCTTCCTAGACTCCCAAAAGTGTTGGCACTTCCACTTTTTAAAAAAGGATATTTGTTTGCAGGGCATATCTGCAACTTATTCAAAAGCTGACCTGCTGTTCCCAAAGTCTTTCTGTGGTGGCAATTCTTCTGTATCTACCTGGGAAAATCAATTTCGGGAGGGGGACAGGAGAATCTAATGAAGCCAAAGCTATGAAAAAATATTGGGTAGGTGAAGTTTCACGGCTTTGCCCATCCCTGCACAAAGGAGCTCTCTCTTTTCTCTGCTGTTTTCATTGCAGCCTTCCAAAAAGCACTTTATAAAGAAGGGACAGAGAAGTGTTTGCCCTCCAGATTTTTTAGACTACAACATCTGTCATCCATTACCTTTGGCCATGCTGGCTGAAGCTTTGGGGAGGTGAAGTCCAAAATGTATGGAAGACCAAAGTTATAAAGGAAAAACACAGCAGAGAGGGAAAATACAACAACATGTGGTTGAGCTGCCTTAAGTAATTTAGCCCATTCATGTTTACTAATGTGAGCTATTACCACAACAGCCCTTTAGAATGAGTAGAACTCACTATTCAAGCATTCCATCACATAGATTGTATTATGCTTATGTATATCTTTGTATTTGTTCATTCAGGATCTACAATCTTCCCTATATGGACATTTCAGGATGAGATACAATCAACATACAAGTTCATTGCCTTGGCAATTCAAGAGACCTCTATTAACAAGCATCTCTTCCCCCCCATCACAACAAAAACATGTTGATCACCCTGTCTCCTGAAAAAAAGACAAAAGCTGTTCCCACAGCTATAAATACTCAACTATCCAACAAACAGCAACAGAGCAAGGACAGGATTCCTCCCCCAGTCCTCTGAAGATGCCGGCCACAGAGACTGGCGAAACATCAGGAAGAACAACCTTCAGAACACGGCCAAAGAGCCCAAAAAAACCACAACAACCATTAGATCCCGGCCGTGAAAACCTTCAAGAATACAGTTCCACACTGCTCTTCAATGGCTGAGCATTGTTGTAGCTGTCCCTTTACCATATGCTTATCTCTGCTACTTCAAAAGAACTAGCAAGATCAGTTCAGATTCCATAGCCCAAATCGGGGGGGGGGGAGCCCCCAAAAGAATAGTTTTTGGTTTCTCTGCAGAAGAGGTATTGTTTTCATCTTCATATCTGATTTAGTGCTGCTCATTTGTTGGCGGTACCTTCCAAAGTAACGCTTATTTCTTATTTCAGTATTTGCCCTGCTTGCTGCAGCATCAAGAAGATGGAAACCTATTCCTTAAACCCAGCACTTTTAATAAACTTTAGTATGTTCTTTTGCTTGCTTCTTTTTCACCTTTCTTGTCAATTAGTCTTTCAGGTGCCCTAATTCTGCCCTTTTTTCAGCTGAACTGCAACTCCCATCAGATCTAGCCAACATAGACAATAGTGAGGTATAATGGGAATTACATCCTGGAGAGTGAAGTCAAGTGGGCCTTAGAAAGCATGGCTAACAACTAGGCCAGTGGAGCTGATGGCATTCCAGTCGAACTATTTAAAATCTTAAAAGATGACGCTGTTAAGGTGCTACATTCAATATGCCAGCAAATTTGGAAAATACAGCAGTGGCCAGAGGATTGGAAAATATGAGTCTACATCCCACTCCCAAAGAAGGGCAGTGCCAAAGAATGCTGCAGCTACTGTACAGCTGCACTCATTTCACACGCTAGCAAGGTTATGCTCAAAATTCTACAAGGTAGGCTTCAGCAGTATGTGGACTGAGAACTCCCAGAAGTGCAAGCTGGATTTCGGAGGGGCAGGGAAACTAATTGCTAACATGTGCTGGATTATGGGGAAAGCCAGAGAGTACCAGAAAAACATTTACTTCTGCTTCATTGACTATGCAAAAGCCTTTGACTGTGTGGACCACAGCAAACTATGGTAAGTTCTTAAAGAAATGGGAGTGCCTGACCACCTTCTCTAGTTCCTGAGAAATCTATATGTGGGACAGGAAGCAACAGTTACAACTGGATATGGAACAACTGATTGGTTCAAAATTGGGAAAGGAATATGACAAGGATGCATATTGTTCCCCGGCTTATTTAACTTATATGCACAATACATCATGTGAAAGGCTGGACTGCAGGAATCCCAAACTGGAATTAAGACTGCCGGAAGAAATATCAACAACCTCAGATATGCAGATGATACCACTCTGATGGCAGAAAGTGAAGAGGAATTAAAGAATCGCTTAATGAGGGTGAAAGAGGAGAGTGCAAAAAATGATCTGAAGCTAAAAAAAAAAAATCCTAAGATCATGGCCACTGGTCCCATCACCTCCAGGCAAATAGAAGAAGATATGGAGGGAGTGACAGATTTTACTTGGGCTCCATGATCACTGCAGATGGTGACAGAAGTCACAAAATTAAAAAACGCCTGCTTCTTGGGAGGAAAACGATGACAGATAGCATCTTAAAAAGCAGAGACATCACCTTGCCAACAAAAGTTCGCATAGTCAAAGCTATGGTTTTTCCTATAGTGATGTATGGAAGTGACCATAAAGAAAGCTGACTGCCAAAGAATTGATGCTTTTCAATTGTGGTGTTAGAGGAGACTCTTGAGAGTCCCCTGGACTACAAGGAGAACAAATCTATCCATTCAAATCAAGTCTGAGTGCTCACAGAAGTACAGATCCTGAAGCTGAGGCTCCAATACTTTGGCCATCTCATGAGAAGAGAAGACTCCCTGGAAAAGATCCTGATGTTGGGAAAGTGTGAAGGAAAGAGCAGAAGGGGATGACAGAGGATGAGATGGTTGGACAGTCATTGAAGCTACCAACATGAATTTGACCAAATTCCGGGAGGCGGTGGAAGACAGGAGGGCCTGGCATGCTCTGGTCCATGGTGTCACGAAGAGGCGTACATGGCCTAACGACTAAACAACAACAATGGGAATTATAGGGCCCAGAGCTATAAAACATTATTGTTAGTCCTAACATGTTAACGTTAAATTGTTAAAACAAAATTAGTAAACATTAAAAATCTTATGAAAGCTTTGCCAGATTACAGTGCTAACTAATTTATTTGAAATGGCCAAAAGTGAATTAAAATGGGAACCATTGCTAGGATTGTATTGGTGTTCTCTTAAACTTTTCATAACTTGTTACAGCTGGTTGCAAATTGACAAGGTGCGGGGGTGCAACTTGATCACATGTTTAGTTACGTGCCTGTGACAAGGTGCGGGGGTGCAACTTGATCACGTTTTTTTACGTGCCTCGCTGTGAAACCAGCATGCATCCTGGCACTTCATCAATCAGCTGCAATTAGCCATGGCAAGTCCTGCAAACACCAGTAAGGTTCTAGCTACTGATCGTTATACAAAACTAACATTGCAAACACCAGTAAGGTTCTAGCTACTGATCATTATACAAAACTAACATTGTTGTTTTGTGCCATCATGTTGGAACTGACTGTTTTAAGGAGTGTTTTTATCAGTTCCATTCCCCGTGTGAATTTCCATGGCCAGGTTGGACTTGAACCCTGGTTCATTCCCCCTGTGAGTTTCCATGGCCAAGTTGGACTTGAACCCTGGTCTCCAAAGTCCTAATCTGTCACTGTACCCACTATACCACACTGGGTACCCCTTAGCAAATTTGGAAATTTCTAACAAATTCTTTCAATATTCTGGGAGTGATATATTTCCCAAATTTATGGTCTATCAGGTTGTTCACTTGTGCCTTTATCTTTTAAAGCATAGTGATACTATTTGAAAGTTTCATTTCTTTGATATTACTTCACTCACACAAGCTACTCGTGTGAACAGACTCCAGATAACCATGAAACAACAAATACAAGCATGAAAGAAAGGGAGAAAGGGCTATAGAAAATGTCTATTTTGTGACATGTCTATTCTGACCTAAGTCAACAGATAATTTTAATTTCTTCCTTTAGAACCAGTTCTGATAATATGGCCTATTGTGCAAGATTAAAATTATGGTACTGTTTCCAAAGCTGAATAAAAATAGAAACATATTTTTCTGCTGGTGTAATCTTTGAAAGACGTAGTTGTAGACAGAAGAGTATAGATGCCATGCATATTTACAAACACAGGGACCACTCATATAAACTATTTAAAGGTTTATTGGACTGAATAATGGCAAAATACATTTTAAGCCACTAGAAATTACAGTCCTGTGTATAAGACTTATCTTCACATTTAGGAAAAAAAAGTAAAAAATACCCTAGACCGCCATTTTTGTCATAACTGAGGAGATAGCTTTGCTCGCTGCCACTAGTCATATATCTTGTACAGTACAACATATGTATTGCTGTTTGCTGAAACATTGTATTGTATATAAGGCATTCTTTGCATAGTTAATGGTGTTTGAAACACTGAGTCTGTCACATAATGCAAACTGGAGGCAGAGTGGATGCTAATCAGTATCCCAAAGCCAGTGTCCTTATATAAATAGGATTCAGTTGCAAACTCTATTATGGAAGTGAGAACAGATATAGTAGTAGAAGCTTAGCTTTTCTTTTCTTTTAAACAGACAAAGCTTCCTGCTGTTTCCTAAATAAGCCCTTTTTAAAAAATCATATGCTAGAGAAAAACATTCTTCAAACCTGGGTGCTCCAAGGAGGAGTAAATAATTTCAAGTATATCTGAAGAATTAAGATTTTGTTTTTCAAAAGATCTTGGGCTTGATATATTATAAAATGTCAAGAAGGAATTAACATTTATTCAGACTATAAATGGAGAATTTTGAAGGACTTCTGCATTTACATCAGTATAGTACAAAAGTGTTCCATTGACAGAAGAAAGTAGCTATTGACCAACAGTGTAGTTTTAATGGAATTACAGTTTCAGCGCATATGAAACCTGTTACGATTTCAGTGTTGGGAACTTAACCCAATAGACCAGATTTTCTGTACATGTATTGTAACAATTCAATACCTTGGCTTTTCTACTATGGGAAGACAATCAACAGAGAAAAGTTCAAAAATGAAAGATGGTGTTGTAAGCAGTGTGGTGGCGTTAAAACAAAACAAAACATTTAATGTTAATTAAGAAATGAATAATAACTCACTAAACATTTTATGGTTTACTTCTTCAAATTCCATACTTGGGAACAAAAGCAAGGGCTAAGTGTACTGCACAGTAACAAAGCTCTAGTCCTTGTAATGAAAAATAGTCACAAACTGTTACACCAAAGCTGCAATCCAATGCCTATGCCTATGAGTAAACTCCATTGAACTCAATGGAACTTACTTCTGAGTAGAGGCATAGGATTGCTTTGCAGATCGTCCTTCTTTCTTTAGAACTTCCCTCTACAAAGATGGAGGACTACTCCTTCAAAAGACTACAGTGTAAAGCTGACTACACTCCTAGAGTCAATATCATACCACCAAACCTCACAAGGCTTTAAAATCTCATTGCATGGTCTTCAAAGCTGCTGAGAAAGCTTTTGATCCAAGGTGGACTGGTGAAAATGGACTAGACAGCTTGATAGAGCAACTAGACTGGTCTAATATAATTGGCTGTTTGGCCATGCTCTCTACGGTGGATTTGTTGTTTTGGGGATGCAGCAAACATGGGAACAGCAGACACAACAAAGTGTGGTTGTTTTGTTTAACAAACAGATCCCCTCAAAATGCTGTTGGTCACCTTCTCCAGCCCATTTAATTTTCAGGCCCAAACACATTGATTTCCTCCAGTCAAGACATTATAGGATTATATTCTGAGGAATTTAGCTTCAGTCAAAGAAAAAGTCTTGTATTTTGAGGGGCTATTAATTTTTCAGTTGTG